TTATTCCTTACCCATGTGGTTAATTCAGCTTTGAATTTTCCGAAAGTGTTTAAATGCTTTAGTCTCGATGGTATCCCTGCCCGTGATGTTAAGCTTCAAACGGTCCCGCCTGTATATCGTAAACTTGATAAAATGTAAAAGTTTGGTGTCGCAGAGAACGCTCACTTTCAAAATTATATTTTTCCTAAGATATTTTCATTAGACAGTTATTCCGGAGGGTATAAATACACATTATTGTTGGCATTGTGCCAACAAAAAGCTCTTGGTTGTAGAATCTTTTTTGATCTAAAAATTATCTTTGAATTTTTCAAAGTTTATTTATCTTGAGAAGGTGTATAGCTTTCTATAACTTACACTTCCTCTCTCGTGAGCTCACAAAGGGATGTCCTTGTGTGGCAGGCAGAAGCGTACGAACGACATTTGCTGTTGCCACGAAGCACGAAAAATGTGTACATGGCTCGATTTCACTGTCATTGGTGCGTAACAAAGTGTTAATAAGTATAATTGCATTGCATTGTCGAAACAGTCAACACATACTAAATATTAATTTTATTAATTTATCTCCTTCAAAAGTGCCTTTGGCGACTTTTACATAAGTAAATATCGTCATTTTTGTTAATTATAAATGCTTTCTTAAAAATCTCTTCCATTGTATTTTACATTATTTTCAAGAAGTGTTTTCGTGTTAAAATTCGTGTTTAAAGACATTAGTTTATGTTTTTTGTAACCTGATGTGAAATTTACAAATATTGTATTTTCTTTCATTTATTTGATTTGATTTATTTCCTAAAAATCGTATAAAACTGTCATGTAGGGAAGGGGGAAGTATAATATTCGCAAGGTAAACTGATTTTTCACCCATCTTGTTGTTCGGACACCTCTTTCAATGACACCTTTCTGTTGGCTCTCGTATAAAAAAAAAGTATATCTTCCTCCGCGAAGCATATGCAGCCTAAAAATTGTTGTATTCCTTTTTCACTCTGATTCTCCCTCACTTTGTCAAGGAAAGCGCCACGGTCGTCTGCGTTCTAACCGCGAAGACGAACACTAGTAATCAGAATAGTGACCTACCACCCTTCCTGTAGGCTCTGGCCATGCCATATGCTCTTAATACAGTTACCTGACGGGTGAGATAGCACACTATCTAAAATTATAAAAATGCTCACATTGACTTATTGATTTGTGTAAATGTAGATTTACCTTTTCATATTTTTCCTTTTGTTGTACTACACTTGGTGTTATTATGAATTTCATTCTCAGTTTGAAACATTACGAGGCGTTATGATAATCACAGGCTGGACTTTAATCTAGGTGTCTAGTGGCAGCAAGAGGTGTTGTGCCTTAACTGGACTAACAAAAATACGAACATTCTACCACAAATCTTCCTAACAGTCATTAAGATGACCCTCAATAAAACCAACTATGCAAGTATTTATAAGAGACGTTACTAAGTTGCTCTAGAATGATCAATATAAATATAAAAAATGAATAACTAAGCTATTTAAATAAGAATTACCAATGTACGTAAAGTTAGTCATAATGAAAATGAAATTCTAACCGCGTGGAATAGATGCACGCAACAAGCCTTCTACCTGTAAAACCCGTGTGTGGTGGAGCCTGCGGTGGAGTCGCGTCGCAGGAGGCGAAGGAGAGTTGGGGCGTTGCGTGTGCAGCCTGCGGTTGCCGAGTGGAGCGGAGCGGAGCGGGGGGCGGCAAATGGGCGGTTTAGCCGCTAACATGGTCATTCCGCGCGATGGCCCACATCCGGCGCCGACGCGGCGCGGCGCGGCGCGGGGAGGCGCGGGGCGGGGCGCACAATGTCCGCCCGCCTTTTTCCCCTCTCGCTCGCGATTTCACGGCGCGTCCGGGCCGCAGCGCCTGTGGTCAGCCGCTGCTCTTGACCCTGCCCACCGCGCCCCGCGACAGTTTTGGCACCCCAAAGAAACGCGCCACTCCTGCCAACCTTTTCTTCTTGCTGCATTGCAGTATTCTCTTCATGGGGGAGGGATTGAATTGTAGAACAGTGTTTATCAATCGGTTATTTATCGCTTTTTGTTGTACAATTAATTCAAGTTTTCTTGGATGGTGGTACGATTGTTTTAAAACACAAAGGCAGGAAAAATTCAAATGAACCCTTTATACAAAATTTTGATATTAAATGTTTTTGACGTTTCTGGTTACACACACCTTCCATAGTTACAGAGCATTTGAAAGGTTCTGAAAATTTGGTCTTATTTTGAATGTTTTCCAATTAATGTAAGCATTGCCTTTTACACCAAGTTTTACGCATTTTCCAGAGTTGGAAATATTGACACGTTGCTGCTGTAAAAGCAGTTATGTAATAAATTTCAATATTCATTTCTAAGTACTCCAAACTGTGTA